TAAAAGTAATACACTGCTGAAATCTTGTTGCGATTATGCTAAAAGTCAGGCTGACTTATTGAAAGAACTCTTAAATGGTTATTGCTTCCTCAAATAAAGGCTACTTCACATGTGCTCTCCTTCCTTAAAAATATGCCGAACAGAGTTACTTCTAAGTGTCAGATTTGTACTTCTCACTGCCCTCTTGAAACATTTGGAAAAGACAGTAGAAAAAGAGGATATGAATAGATCAGGAAATAATCTATAATAAATAAAAATGCAGTCAACGTAGTAATTTTTTTGGTTGCTGCTATCAGACTGGGTGTAGGAAAGCAGAATTCATCAAACTTTCCAAACACCATGCAGAGTCCTCCAAATCTGAAAGTAACATTCAATTTGTTTTATTTGCATGAAACTAATATCTTTAGCTGTCTTCCCTCCACCCTTCCGCTCTTGAAATGATGGATGTTTGAAGCTGAGGTCCAGAGACCTCAACCAACTTTAATAACCCCTGTTTGGTTCCAGGAGAAAGGAAATGGTTTGCCATATCCTGAAGTCCACTAGACTCACTGATTATTTATTTCCCTTGTATCTTCCATCTCTGTAGATCAGCTCTAACTCCACAGTTATGAGATCTGGTATAAGAGCAGTGTTGTATCCATGCTAACAGTCCCTGCTGAAAGGAAAGCTGTAATAGCTCAGATTTCAACTTGCCACTTTACAGCAAAGACAGCCTAAGTTCTCATTTGCCTCACTTAAACAGATTGGTGCAAACTTTCAGATACTTCTTCAGGTCACTTTGGCTTAGAAAGCTTAGACTAGGCCACCAGGAAACAGAAACACCACGGGCAGAGATGACCAGTAGTACATAAACAATGGGCATTGCATTACGAATGATCTCATAATTAAAGGGTAATGTAGATTTTGATCTGTTTGTTCAGTGAAAAAAAAAAATAATTATGGGTGTTTTAAAAACACATTATTAGCACTTTCTAAAGAAGATAGTAAGACTGAGATGTATCATTAATGCTACTCTATCAATCAGTAGTACAGGAATGTTCACATAGAAGTCCAGCCCCATGCATTGCACAAAACAATACAGGATTGAGCTCATGTTGAGTCCTACTATCAATAACCACACCACACTGTTTTTTATTTTGTCACCCCCCCAACTAAACACTAATCAGCAGTAGCTGAGAGAAGCAGTGTGAACCACTGCTTGAAATTCTCCCACCAAAACAAAGGCGAGTCAATTTGATTTCCATGTCTTTGCTGGAATTCTTTCCCTCTCTGAATACTGCCAAACCAACCCAACCAGGGATGACTCATCTTCAGGGCCTCATAAAGCACTTCTGAAAGGCTTGGGTTTTACCTTTGGAATGCTCTGGATTACACCAAGGGTTTGTAATGCTTTAGCGTGGGGAAGAGGACATCCCTCACTCTTCCCAACAAGGACATTCCCAGTCTGCACACTGTAGCATTAACTACGTGCTCAATTTATTTCTGACTACCTAAGGAAAGTATTGAGCATTCATTCCTTTGGCAAAATATCATCCTTCCACTTTGATTTTGCTTCTGAGACAATATTTTCTTGCTCACATAGAAAAACAAATTAACAAATTGCTTGATCCCTCACTCTCCCTTGTTTTCCCATTTCTTACCCTGCGGTAAAGAGATATATGATGAGCTATACAGGAAAAAATCTGTGGGAGTCCCAGCTAAAATACTGTCAGCACATAACTGAGTAAAGCAGAAATCTAAAAAACCAAAGAAAGGCAAAAATAAAACAAGCAGAAGAAAATAAATATTCCACAGGAGGAGACAGTAAAGCCAGTGGAACTGTTCTGTTTAGAAAGGCTTTGATAGATCACGTGGCAGTTCACGTGAGTTAACAAGTAAAATAAGTCCACTTGGCTTATAGTAATTTTTCCCCTAATGCATATTAACTAAAATTAAAATCAATATTTGGAACATAACATATTGTAGAGCACCATCTACACTGTATTAATGAGCCAACAATCTAATACGACTTTTAATTGGGCAAGAATTTCATAACGATAAGATCACTAGTGACAACAGCCAAGATAAACATTTACAGAATACATCATCCCTCACGTGTATGGACTGAAATAAAATGTTTTGATGATTTGCTTTAGGAAAAAACATCACTACTGGCAGATTTTTGCATCATTGTCTGCCATGGCTGATGGACAACTTCAATTGAAGCCCCTTGGTTCTGGCATCTTTCTGAAAGGCACTGGGGAGGCCTGTTCTGATTATGACAAATTCAATGACCCTGTGTAAGGTTACAAAAAGTCATAGAAGGAAGTAAAAAAAATTAAGAAAACCCTTGGCCATCATCTCACTTAAATCTGTATAGTATAATAGGAAAGCAAAAAACATTACAGTTCCTAGCTTCAAGGATTTACCAAATGTGCACAAGAAGTATCTAAAGTTCTACCTGCTGAAGTTCAGCCAGGTCTTTAGCTGTCCAGAGGTATTTCACGTATCTATTTCTATTTCAGAACTCCTGATGTGGAATTTCTTAGAAGTTCCTCAGAAATTGCTTCAAAATCTATGTATTGACTTGGCTTCTCTGAAGTGGCTTGCATGAGTTTGACAATTACATGTGACATGAGTTTCTATTTGATTGTATCTCACTCTGTGAGCCCAAAAATTGAAAGGCAAAAGGATGATTATTCAGCACCGTAGAGTATCTATTAAGGCCCTGTTTTTGTATAAAGTCTTCAGAAAAGAAAAAAATGGAGATACATTGGGAAAATACAAGCAAAGTTCTGTGTTTGTCATATCTGGGCAACCTAGCTGTAATGAGGTGCCTGTTCATCTCTAGCTGCTGAGATGGACTGTTCCAAGGTCATGCACTGCAGAAGGAAAAAGTCTGTCTCACAGAAGACCTAGAGAAATTACTAAATCAGGACTGAATGAGGAAGTGTTTCTCTTGCAAAATGGTAATATAAGTGTTATGGGGTTGGCTAATAATACAGTTGATTTCCACTAACTAACAGAATAACATGGTGATCTACAGAACTTATTTTCCATCTGAGTCAGTTTAAATAAAACCTGTGTTCAAGAGACCAAGTCTCATGATTTTTGCTTCTTTGTTTAATCTCACATGGGTATCCCCATCCAATCTGAGATGCAGAAGATATTCCACATGTCAGAAGCCCTATAATGGTTGTTCAAATATGGTTCCAACTCATAACGCACTTATAATGCAAACTATCTGGGGACAGTATGACCAAAAAAATAATATTTCTCATGGACAGAAGAACTGATTTCATTTAACTGAAAGATGATGAACCAAGGATGCGTGTGAAAGCACAGTGCCATATGTGTCTTTCAGTTTACAGGTTTTAAGGTTCCAGTTCTAAAAAGGGGGACACACAACGTAATGGAACAATTAGACAGAAGCTCAGCCAGGGCAAACCTCAGGCCACCACTTTGTTCTGTGTGTTCTTTTCATGGAGAATATAGCCTATGTCAATGCTTTCAATTTAGTGAGTCATACCTGCCCTGTTTAAGTGTACCTACTTTTAAAACTAGATAGACTTTTCAATTAATGGAGCACATTGTTATGGCTGTAGTCAATCTCCCCCTTGTCCACACAGAAGGGCTACTTTGAATCTGGTTATTATCTTGCAAAATAAATCTAGTTTAGGGATTATTCTTCCTGAAAATGCAATGGGCAATCTCTTCTCTTGAATATTTTAAAACATTGAGCTGCATGTACATCCTAGAAGAATATGAACATGGGACCTGAGCTAAGATTTTAAGCAGTCTGAAAGAACAGGTCAGTCTGCTGAATAAGATATCCAGAAAAATATAAGTTCTCATTACAAAGGTAATACACACATACACACACACACATATACATGTATATGTAAAAATCTGCATGGCATATTTGCTGTGCAGGCCTTCCTTTGTAAGTTGTTTTTCAGTATAGCAAATTAGAAAAACATGGCCAGAATTAAAGGTTACTTAATCGGGTTGAAGCAGCAACTTCAATTCCACCAACTCCCTCCCACTATGTTACATCTGATAATGTACCCAAGTCCAAACATAAACTTAGTTCAAAAAGATGTTTGGTCCTTGAATGTAAAATGACACTTAGCTTACACAATTAGCCAGGTAATACATATCCTTCTAAGAGAAGCCATTTTTACCGCAGAATAATCTGCAGTTTACTAATCTCTGATTGTTAAGTTTTGCTTGCTGAAACTTTTCCATATGTTTTTTTGAATACCACTGTCCTGTATTTAATTACCACAGAAGGATATCAATGAAGAGTTTGGAAATTTGGTCCAAGCCCTGTTCCACAGTTTGGACAGTTTGATATAGAAAGAGCCAATGAGCAGAACATTTCACACATAAAAGCAGTAGCAAAAGAGGAGTAAACAGACCTACAGAAATAAAACACCCAACTATTTTTTAATTGTCCGTAAACTTCTAAAATAGTATGGTCGTAAAGGAGTATTGAGTGAAGTGATACACTTTGGGTTTGCCAACCTAAAGGACAATCAAACAGGAATCAGTGGAGTAGTCTTTGGAATTGAGACCTTTTCTATCAAGCTGTCAGACGCAAGACCAGAAATGCAAAGTGTACTTCCCAATTTTAAAGGCAAAACATGGTATTGAGCAGAACGAAGGCAAGGGTAGGCAGCTTGGAGTGCAGAGGATGCAAGGAAGCTAATGTGGGTGGGGAAGCATATGTTACTGCCTGGATGAGGAAGTGGTATACCACAGTTACTTTGCAAGTGCAAGGGCTTTATAAACTAAATCTCCTAGGGACTGTTTTAAATAGACAAAGAATGACATGCAGCCCTGAGAGGCTTTTGGTATTGTTTGAGAAGGCTGGTTGCCTTCTAAAAACACTGGACTGCTGCTTGTACTTTTTCCAAAAAAGCCTGGTTTTAACCTCTTCATACAAACAGTAGGCAGATGCACCATGTAGTAAACTCCTGTTTTGTCTAGCGTGAAATTAAGGGCTTCCTCAGTCTCACCTGACAATGGAAAACATACTCTGGTGTGGTTTTCTTGAACTTCATGTTCCATACCAAGGCTACCCCATCAGGCTCATGTGGAGCATCTTCATTATTGTTATAAGAAGCAACCATTAACTCGGGATACTGGAAAGAAAAAGGGAAAGCAAATTAAATAAGATGGATGACAAAGAACTTATGCCAAATCAGATGAAACAGAAATAATCTCACACTAAAATTGCAATATCTGGTTTTAATTATAATACACACAAGTCCAATCATAGTATTCTGCTCCATTTTGGTTTTATATTTTACTTGTCCCTGATACCCTTAAAGCTTCTGCTCTTTGGTCTCTATCAGTTAATCTCAAATATCAGAAAAGCAATGTTATTTTCTGCAGGCAATTCTCAGAAAAGACAAGTAGCAGGATATTCATAAAGGAAATGAAAAGCAAGAAAGAGGAAAAACCTGAAAGCTCAAGTAATGCTAATGTATTTGCTTAACAATTTATTCAGGGACAAACCATTGTCTTAATTTATTTTAATAATAAAACCACTATAACCATAGGATTGACATGCTTTTAATCTGAAATTCAGCTTTTTCAGTGTGCCTGAAAACTATTCTTTCTCATTTCATTATGCTCTCTTTCTATTCACTTATGCATAGAATCAACTGGAAAGCTCTTCTTAACGATTCAAATAGCAAACAAAACATCTTCACAGAAGCTCAATTTTGCAAGATGCTGAGGTCACCCTGTAAAGCACAGGGTGACCTCGAATTCCAGACTCAGTAAGACTGATGCAATGAGCACTCTAAAATCAGATCCATATTTTCTTGTATACACATTACCCACTGATGTATAGAAGTATATATGCAAAACACACACATGTATTTGTTCTGTTTATGGATATATACACACACATATAATGTATGAAAAATCAGATTTTCACATTCTGTTGATGACCTTGTATAATTTCAAAACACCCTAAGCAACAATTTGCTCACAAAATGTCAGTTACTTTCTGCCTATACAACAGCACACAGTTCTCCACTGTCACATGTTTGACACTAGGCACTTTTGGTAGCCTCTGTCCTTCCATCTAAATAGTCAGAGTAAGGCATTGGACCTAGTGGCATGACCAGAGAAGAGCACGTGGCTTCTGCAGACCAACAAGCCACCAGCCCAAGCTCTGCAGGACTCACGCCCTTCTCTTGTAAACTAGAAATTTTCCTCCAAAATTTCTGCAGGATCTCCACAAAACATTGTTACTTTTTGTCTTCCCCAGGTAAAACTCTGCCAAATTATTCACCACTTTGTAGGGGAACAGTGCAGCTGGTAGATGTAAAGGAAGTGGGCCAGAGAAACTGCCAATAGTACTACTGGGAACTGTGAATTTGGTCCACACCAGGCATTTTAAAAATTAAAAAAACAAAACCACCACCCTTTATATCATTATTATTGGGGTTTGAACCTCTCTGCTCTCAAAATCCATTTAGAAGAAATAATGTGCACAGCTATAACTTTTGCCATCAGCAGCTGTTTTCTCCCACTTTGTGTACACTTCCATGGATAATACATCATGGAGCTGATGATTTTTCTATTCAAGCTCATCATTCCAAATGAGACTGGACCCATGTGTGGGAGAACCAGCAATGACACATGGCCACCATAGACTTCTCTTCCCTATTTTGAGGCAGCTCTGACTGGCTTGTACCTACATCCCAGCAGACTCTGGCTCTTGGCACAGCTTGTAAGGGCAATTTAGCACCAATGTCACCTGTGTGGCATTTAAAGCATGCAGCAGATGAATCATCCCTTCAAGAACTGAGGGAGAACTGAGTGTGATTTAGTCCCACACCTGAGACACCACTTCTCTGGACATAGTTGTGCCAGCCTGACCTCCACTGCTCTCACCCTCCTCTTCTCTCTCCTCCAACAGAGATTACAGCCACTTCTGAACAGCAATCTTAGCTTCTCCTTTGAACCTCTTCATTCCACGCTGGCCCAGGTCCAAGTGAACAGTGTGCACAGTAGGCTCTTGCCAGGGCATCTCATTTTGCCTGAACAGGTTAGGTACCACTCACACCAGCAGCTGAGCCTGCAGTTGTGAAGGGGCAGACACCTTGGCAGGCAGAAGTGACAAGCCCTTCCAGCTTCATGACTGCAGTCAGATAGGGTGTGTGACCAGGTCTGAAGCACTGGTTTAGAGGCACTTTGGGGTTGGTTCATGCTCCCAGAAAGTCTAGCAAGCATGTTCTTGTTGGCAGCATGTCTGGCCATAAACAAACACTGACTCAAATCTTGCTGGTCTATACATAGGTTTTGCAATCACAGTTTATGCACCTGATTGGAAATACAGTTTCAACTTTACATAAACGGGGTCATACCTAGCTGGGCAACACTATTAGGAGGCTTTTTGTCTCTTCAAAAAACAGATCTAAGTGCAGCACCCTAAATCCATGGTAGGGTTGCAGACCTGCCGTTTCATTCAATCTACTTGCTTTCACAGAATTTTGGTCCTCACCAGGTACCCAGCTGTCCTGTGACTGAAAACAATGTGGAAATGGTGCTGTGGGAAAGA